AGAAAGTTGTCTCTTACAACAAATATGAGATCAGAGGATTCTGCTTGAGCGAATGGTTAGTAAAACTTGGAGATGGCAAACTTGATAGCAGTTTTCAATTAGGAATGGATATTATTGAAATCCCCTGTGAAATGATTTGTAACTGATCTATTATTGAAGCTACCTTTGGAAATACTGTATCTATAGATAATATTAAAAATATATCTAAACATGCAATTCCTTGTCGAAAAAATGAGCACGTTTAAAAATTAAATGAAATTTTGGATAGACTCGATGGAGATTTTCACACATATTTAATTGATGATTCCATTGATTCAACAGATGATGGTGAAAAGGAAAATTTTCCCATCAAATTTCTTAATAGTATTAACTCCTGTGGGAATGCTGTGTCATAAATTAAAATTGAAAGTGGATGCAATCATCATGCTACTGAGAAATCTTAATAGTAAATGGGGTCTTTGTAATGGCACTAGATTTTTTATCAAAAGATTGCGACCTAACATTATCAAAGCTGAAGTATTAACAGGATCTGCAGAAGTAGAGGTTGTTCTGATTCCAAGAATTGATTTGTCCCCGTCTGACACTGGCCTCTCATTTAAATTAATTCAAAGACAGTTTCGCATGATGCCAGCATTTGTGATGATTATCAGTAAATCACAAGGACAAACTCTAGACAGAATAGGAATATTTCTACCTGAACCTGTTTTTGAACATGGTCAATTATATGTTGCTTTCTCTCGAGTTCAAAGAGCGTGTGATGTTAAAGTTGTAAATACTTCATCACAAGGGAAATTAGTCAAGCACTCTGAAAGTGTTTTTACTCTTACTGTGGTATACAGGGAGATATTAGAATAAGTTTAATCAATTTATCAGTCATTGTTTGTATCAATGTTTTTATATCATGTTTTTGTTGCTTTCATATGTTTGGTTGTTTTATATCATGTCTTTGTTGTTGTCATATCATATTGTTATTGTTTACCTATATTAATAAATTTATTTTCATATACATTTTACTAATTTTCTTTAATCTCTGACACATCTATTATAGAGAAAGGGCAAATAGCAATACTAAAATATTTCCTCTAATTAATTCCCTTTCAATGTGCACGAATTCATGCACCAGGCCACTAGTATCAAATATTAGGGCAGTACGTTTTATATTACAGTGAGAATATAATATGGCTAAAATGTAAAAATTTCCATAACTTTCAGTTTTGTACATTGTATATCATTTGGGGGAACTGACCCACTGTCATCTTGTATAGGGTACTTTCAAAAATCAAAACTAGCAAAAGCTTCTCCTGTTAGCCCAGATTAGAGGTGAAAGTTAACTCTACCTTCTTGTCACTCTCTTCCCTCTGCTTCTGTCCACCACCAACAAGTAAATTACAAGTCAAGAGTCTAACAGAAATCAGGTCAAGTGTAGTGAAAGTCAAACACTGGTTTTCAAATGGGCTTCTTTCCTTCCTGCACTCCTACTGGGAATGAAGGCGTGGTTATTTTTGGCTTTTTTTTTGTTTTACACTAAAGCTAAATTTTAAAAAGCATCTTCCTCACACTTAGGGCTACAGGGGAGTTAAACTAGTAACTTCCACAATCATCTCTTTAACAGCAGATATTGGCTCACATACACAGTTTGTGGTATCAGCCTCATTATTTTATGTAACAACTTATAAATTATTGCTGTGAAGAAAGATTAATGTGGGTACATTAAATAGACCTGAAATGACTTCAAGAAGTCTGACAGCTACAATTATTTATGAATAACACACTGAATACACCCATATACTCACTGATTAGCCAATGAAAAGGGTAGCGGTCGTACACTAAATACCATGTTTCTCTTTTATTAATGTAGATTGCTGTGAAGAAAGATTAATGTGGGTACATTAAATAGACCTGAAATGACTTCAAGAAGTCTGACAGCTACAATTATTTATGAATAACACACTGAATACACCTTTACTCCTAATATTTTAAATGTATCTCTCACCTTTTCAATTTTTCTAAGACTAAGTTTTCTTCTTGTTTGTTCCCACTGTCGTCTTTCTTCTCTGTCCATCCAGAGGCAGTGCTGCTCTTCTGCTCTGCACTCACATTGTTCTAATTTCCTACTTATCCAAATCCTACATAATAAAACCCTAATATGCAAATTGAACAAATGGTGGAACGACTGGTTACTATGATGCGCATTGACCACCAGGGAGCAGACGTTCAATGCAGGAGCTGCCCCCTGGTGATCAGTGCACTCCCACAGGGGGAGCACCACTCAGCCAGAAGCCAGGCTCACGGCTGGTGAGTGCAGTGGTTGGAGTCTCTCCTGCCTCTGCAGCAGCACTAAGGACCCCTTGGGGGATATCCAACTGCCGGCTTAGGCCTGCTCACCACATACCCCAAGGAGTCCCAGACTGCGAGAGGGTGCAGGCCGGGATGAGGGACCCCCCTACAGTGCACAAATGTCGTGCACCAGGCCTCTAGTATCTAAATAAAAGTACAAATGCAAGTGAAGGTTAATTGGGTGTACCCATTATACTGACATCAGCTTCTTTGATATGTCCAAACCACCTCCTTACTCACTTTTTATTTCTTGAACTACAGGAATTTTACAGTTTTTCTATCAGCTCTGTTCATGGATTTGTAAGCCAGCTCTCACCATGTTTTGTTATACAGCTCTCTCTACCATGTTCTTATGGCCAAGACAATGGTAAAATGTGGAGCAGACTCATTAAAAACATTTCACACAGTAATATTCATAATTCAGTGGGTTTAGGGATAAGTTTTCAAAGAAGGCTGGGATAACTGAAAATTGATTTCAAATCTAGAAAAAAACAAAACAGATTTGAATTTCCTAAGAAAAAGATGTATCCTGGGTCCCCTGTGACTTACAGAGCCTTGAACAAATCTTCCATCTATAGTCCAGGTCTTGGTATGTCAATATGCTTATGGAATTACCACAAAATGAACCCACGGAATATAAAAGTCAGGCTGTGCAGCCCAATTCCTCACCTTAGAGGAGGAGGAGAGAGGAGGAGGAAAAAACTATAATGTCCCTTCACTTCCTAAGATAAGCGCTTGACCGCAGAATGGTAATGGTTGACCACGAAGAGGTAATATCTGAAGAGGTACACATTTTCACTTAGGGACAATGCATATTTATACTGGCATTAGATATAGTTTAATCAGACATCTATTTTTGACTTTGCACTAATAACTTCCTCAAATTTGATGATGAATCATTAAAGATGAATCATAAAAAGCATGTGCTAAAAGATTCTTTTCCTCCATTTCCAATTATATGAAGGATTTTGGATCTGACTCTTTCTTTAGTTATCAGTTTGGATTACCTCTGGGACTCCCAGGAAGCCTGGTGGAAATTGCTCTTCCTTCCCTTGCCATCTAAGTTCCCAATTTCTGTACCTCTTGGTCTCTCCCTCCCTCTCTATACTGAGGGCAGTAGTGGAGTTAGTGTCTAGTACAATAAAAAAATTCCTAACTCCAATTCTTTCTTGAACTTTTCCAATGTATTTGAGTTCACAACCTATACATAAAATATGCAATCACTTCAGTTTTACCTGGGCCTTATTAATTGCTCCTGGTCCTTAAAAGATTGGGTGTCTTCCCATAACAACCAATTTTGAAACTGTGCAGCATCAGAAAATCTAGGTAGTTGATTGTTTTCTTGTAGTTTATTTACTTGTTTTGCAAGCAATTTCTATTTTTAAAAAGTGTGTTTCATATATATGCGTATATATATGTATATGTGTATATATAAATATGAAGTGTTTTTAAGATTTACAGAAATAAAACTGTTCTTTGACATACCTTTTTATATTTAGTGTTTAGTAAAATTCCTGTACTTTCTAAGTAACTAATTCTGTTTAATTGCATTTAAATCTATTTTGAATCCATTACAGACATGGGTAACTGAACCAAAGTAAAAATTTCTCTCTCTGAAAATGAAAGATAAATATCTCATCATACATTTCCATCCATTCTAAAAAAAATTAATGAAAATATGGAAGAATGGCAGAAGCTCTAGACACAGAGGGGAAAATGGGGGATGATATAGAACACTTAAAGGTATAGGAAAGTTATTCTCATTTCTATACTACTCTCTTACCTTAGAACGTACATTTGTAAAGTACACATATGCATACCTTTCTAATTTTTATTCAACCCTCTTGATTCTAAAATCAAATCCACTCACTCACTAACTTCGAGTCAAAAATTGAAAGGAGCCTGGCCAGTGTGGCTCAGTTGGTTGTGTGTTGTCCCATGCACTGAGAGGTTGCTGGATTAATTCTCTGTCAGGGCACCTGCCCGATATGGGCTTAAACCCCATTAGGGGGCATGCAGGAGACAGCTGATTGATGTGATGTTTCGCCCTCACATCAATCTTTCTCTTTTCTACCTCCCTCTCTCTCTAAAAAAAAAATCAAAACTATTTTTTAAAAATAATAAAATGAAAGGATATCACTATTTATACCCACTCACTCTACACCTAATGATTCACTTTACCTTTATCATATAACTAGAGGCCTGGTGCACGTGTGCACCAGTGGGGTTCCTTGGCCTGGCCTGTGGGGATCGGGCCCAAACCGGCTCTCAGACATCCTCTGAGGGGTCCTGGGTTGTGAGAAGGTGCAGGCTAGGCCAAGGGACCCCACCAATGCACGATCAGGGCCAGGGAGGGACCGCAGGAGGGCTCTAGGGCGTGTCTGGCCTGTCTTGCCCAGTCCCGATTGGCCAGACCACAGCAGCAAGCTAACCTACTGGTTGGAGTGTCTGCCCCCTGGTGACCAGTGATTGTCATAGCGACTGGTCGAATGAAAGATCGGATACTTAGCATATTAGGCTTTTATTATATAGGATTTTTAAAAAAATATATTTTATTGATTTTTTACAGAGAGGAAAGGAGAGGGATAGAGAGTTAGAAACATCGATGAGAGAGAAACATCATTGATCAGCTGCCTCCTGCACACCCCCCCACTGGGGATGTGCCTGCAACCAAGGTACATGCCCCTGACCGGAATCGAACCTGGGACCCTTCAGTCCGCTGTCTGACGCTCTATCCAATGGGCCAAACCAGTTAGGGCTATATAGGATTTTTTACTGGCTGAACATAGCTGCATGTGTGTGGGTGCAAACACACAGTGTGCATGTTCTTGAGTCACCCATAGGACATTATAACTGTGCTCACTGTTCCTCTCCTGTCACACAGGCTGGTTTTGGTTCCAGCTTAAGAATTGTGCTGCCATAATAGACTCTTCCTATTGGCCCCAGCTCTGATAGAAGGAACACACTGGAATAGCAACTGAATTACTAAATTATGCCATTTACCACTGACGTATTAATAGATGACTTGGTCCCTTTCCTTTTCTTGGCCAAATAAAGCAACCTCAAATTGTTCTTTATTCCTGTTCTAAATTTTCATTTGGAAAAAAATATTTAATTAGTCTGTCAAAATTAAGTTAAAAATATTTTAAGAAAGTACTTGTCATACAAGTAAACCTTTCTTCCAAACCTTATGTAGGAAAACAAATTAAGTATTTAACTTACGTGTTCTTTTATGTAGTTTTCTTTTGAAGTTTAACTTTAGACTTGTTAAGATATGGCCTGTACCTATTAAATTCTCTCAAGTTACATGCAACCTAAAAAACAAAACAATAACAAAAAATATAAATACAAACACTTAAAAATCATAGCAATCACTTTCAGGAGGAAAATAGTAATAATATAAAATTTGATAACATTTTGGTATCAAGTAATAATTGCTAATAATTTTGTAAGTAGTATCTCTCTATAATTGTTAAACAACATAAGTATCTCTCTACAATTGTTGACCAACAGGAAATTTCTATCCAAATTCATTACTTTAAAAAAAATATGACTTATAAATTTAGTACACACAATTGAAGTTATTAGAATAAAATACCAATCTACACTAATAAAAGAGAAACATGGTAATTGGCGTACGACCGCTACCCTTTTCATTGGCTAATCAGTGAGTATATGCAAATTAACTGTCAGCCAAGATGGCGGCCGGCAGCCAGGCACTGAAGCGAGCAGGGAGGCTTGCTTGCTGCAGACTCCAACGTTCACCGCCTCACTTGCCGGCCTCTCAG